ATTCGCGCATATCGGACCGTAACTTCCTGAATTATAGCCCCTGATTGTACGAAAAATCGCGTTTTTAGCTTGTGGACCCTATAGAGGTCATAATTTGTATCCAATTTAAAAAACTGTATTATTTTATCACTGTTGCACCCTAAGGACGACTGAATTCGAATTTCGTGAAAATCAACCCAAAATTGACAGACGAAATGGCCACCGTTCGTTCTCAAATAGCGTAAAAATATGGTATATCAAGGTTGTGGACCCTATAGAGGTCGCAATTTTTATCTGATTTTGTTGAAACTTGAAATGTAAGTTTATAACACAAAGATCTCAGTTCCTTTCGATATTCGCGCATATTGAATTGTAATTTCCTGAATTATGGCCCTTGATAGTAGGAAAAATCACTTTCTTGTTAGCTTGTTCTCTATCCATCTCTCGAAAATGTGGGCGTATCCTGCCTGGCAGCCGCTGGTTTCATTCTGCTCTACATGTATATCACATATAATTTTTCACAGTATTCATGTTACAAGTGCCTCGAAGATAAAAAGGATTAATGATCTTTCTGAGAGAGAATTTTCAGAATATATCAGAAAGGGTGAAGGTATTATTAATTAAAAAAAAAACGTCTGTTGAGACTTTGGAACACAATAACTCCCCTTCTAATTGTGGTAGAATGTTTAAACTTCGTGTAGGTGTTTATTAGGTGCATGCCTTGACAAAATTCGGTGATGAGCATTTTCTGCTTAGGGTAAGCAGAGATAAGCAATTTGATTGGTTGAGGCTTTGGGACACGATAACTTTGATTCCAATTAAGTGAGAGTAATGAAACTTGGTGTATAGTTTCATAAGATCAATACCTTTACTAAGTTCGATAATGAGCATTTTCTGCTTGGGGTAAGCAGAGTGATAAGCAATTTGATCCAGACTTTGGAGCTCGATAACTTTCATCCTAATTGATAGAGAGAGGTGAAACTTGGTATATAGATTCATAACATCAATACCTTGACTAAGTTCGATGGTGAGCAGTTTCTGCTTAGGCTCAGTAGAGACTTCAATCTGAGTGGTCGAGACTTTGGAACACAATAACTCCACTTCTAATTGTGGTAGAATGTTGAAACTTCGTGTAGGTGTTTATTAGGTGAATGCCTTGACAGAGTTCAGTGAAGAGCATTTTCCACTAAGGGTAAGCAAAGATAAGCAATTTGATTTTTCAAGACTTTGAAGCTCGATAACTTTGATTCTAATTGAGTGAGAGAGGTGAAACTTTGTGTATAGTTTCATTACATCAATACCTTGACTATGTTCGATGCAAATTTTCTGCTGAGGCTAAGTAATGATAAGCAATTTGACTGGTTCAAGACTTTGGAACATAACAACTCTGCTTTTAATTGAGGTAGAATGTTCAAATTTTGTGTAGATGTTTATTTAGTGAATGTCTTGAATGAGTTCACTGATTAACATTTTCCACTAAACAGAGCTAAGGAATATTATTGGTCGATGCTTTGGGACACGATAACTTTGATTCTAATTGAGGGAGAGTGATGAAACTTGGTGTATAGTTTCACTACTTCAAAACCTTGAATAAGTTCAATCATGAGCATTTTATGCTTAGACAAAGTATAGATAAGCAGTTTGGTTACTCGATGCTTTATAAAAAGATAAATGTGCAATTAATTAATGTGTCATCTATTTATTTTGGGATTTCGGCGGGGGAAATCTGCCTCACTGTTGGCTTGTTTTCTTTATTTTATATTTGTTTTGGTTTGTTCTGTTTACCTTTTCAATATGCCAAAAAGTATTTGGCATGTCTTTCAATATTTAAAAAGGAACAAGACAGACAAATCAGTTGCAATAAACTAATTGAGGCGTTTTTCTCTTTAAATGAGACACAATAGTTAATTTAGAAAAATATTCTTGATCAATTTCTTGACTTCTTGTACATGTATAATCATGTGAGATTTTTTAATGATAATCCTGCTCTCAAATTTAAAAAAAAAAAAAAAAATTTTTTTACGGATGATCTGTCTTGTTCCTCTTGTTAGTGTTACCATATTTCATTTGGATGAAAGATAATTATCTGGGATGGGACATACAAATAAATTACCGGTAGTTGATAGTCACTATGTCACAGTAACGGTAGCCTATAGGGAGTTCAAATTTGCAAAGGTATTTCAAAATTGACATGACATGTATATTACAAGTCAAAATTTCATAGGAAATCGCAGCATTTTAGTGATACAAAGTAGAGCTGGAGTTTCTACCTCTCCACTTACGTAGTGGTAAATTCTGTTTATTTTCAGAAAAACTGAAGAAAACTAACAGACTAAGACATCTGTTAGTAAAATTCACCAGTGATGTTAGTTTAATCGAAATAAAGGATTTCAACAGCCAAGACTATCTAGATGAATTGGTTCAGAAAATTGAATGCAAGCCTTACAATAAATTATTTGCAACAGATGATGATGATGATTCACTACCACCCCCACAAGCTGAAGAGAGAGAGATCAAGCCCATTCCTCCATCTTCACAAACCAGGATGATTGATGATGATGATCCACTACCATCATCACAAACTAAAGTGACAGAGATCAAGCCCATTTCCCCATCATCACAAACTAGTGTGATTGATGATGATCCACTACCACCCTCACAAGAGCCCATTCCTCCATCGTCACAAACCAGGATGACTTATGATGATGATCCACTACCATCCTCACAAGTTAAACCGACAGAGGTCAAACCAATTCCTCCATCTTCCCAAACCAGAATGATTGCTGATGATGATGAAGAGGATGATCTACTACCACCCTCTCAATCTAATCGGAGAGAGATAAAGACCATTCGTCCATCTTCACAAACCAGGTTGATGGATGATGAGGAATCACTACCACCTTCACAAGCTAAACCGACAGAGGTCAAACCCATTCCTCCATCTTCACAAACCTGGATGATTGATGATGATGATCCACTACCACCTTCACAAGCTAAACCGACAGAGGTCAAACCCATTCCTCCATCTTCACAAACCTGGATGATTGATGATGATGATCCACTACCACCTTCACAAGCTAAACCGACAGAGGTCAAACCCATTCCTCCATCTTCACAAACCTGGATGATTGATGATGATGATCCACTACCACCATAACAAGTTAACCCGCAGAGGTCAAACCCATTCCTCCATCTTCACAAACCTGGATGATTGATGATGATGATCCACTACAACCATCACAAGCTAAACCGACAGAGGTCAAACCAATTCCTCCATCTTCACAAACTAGTGTGGTTGATCATGATGAAGAAGATGATCCACCACCACCCACACACGCTGAACGGAGAGAGGTCAAGGCCATTCCCTCATCTTCACAAACCTGGTGGATTGATAATGATGAAGAAGATGATCCACTACCACTCACACAAGCTAGAGGGAGAGAGGTCAAACCAATTCCTCCATCTTCACAAACTAGTGTGATTGATCATGATGAAGAAGATGATCCACTACCACCCACACAAGCTAAACGAAGAGAGATCAAGGCCATTCCCTCATCTTCACAAACCTGGATGATTGATGATGATCCACTACCACCATCACAAGCTAAACGGAGAGTGATCAAGCGCATTCCTCCATCTTCACATACCTGGATGATTGATGATGATGATCCACTACCACCATCACAAGCTAAACCGACAGAGGTCAAACCAATTCCTCCATCTTCACAAACCAGCATGATTGATCATGATGAAGAAGATAATCCACTACAACCCACACAAGCTAAACGGAGAGGGATCAAGGCCATTCCCTCATCTTCACAAACCTGGATGATTGATCATGGTGAAGAGGATGATCCACTACCACCCACACAAGCTAAACCGAGAGCGATCAAGGCCATTTCCTCATCTTCACAAACCAGGTTGATTGATGATGAGGAATCACCCTCACAAGCTAAACGGAGAGGGATCAAGGCCATTCCTCCATCTTCACAAACCTGGATGATTGATGATTATGATCCACTACCACCCACACAAGCTAAACGGAGAGAGATCAAGGCAATTCCCTCATCTTCACAAACTAGTGTGATTGATCATGATGAAGAAGATGATCCACTACCACCCACACAAGCTAAACGGAGAGCGATCAAGCCCATTCCTCCATCTTCACAAACTAGTGTGATTGATCATGATGAAGAAGATGATCCACTACCACCCACACAAGCTAAACGGAGAGGGATCAAGGCCATTCCCTCATCTTCACAAACCTGGATGATTGATGATGATGATGAAGAGGATGATCCACTACCACCCTCACAAGCTAAACAGAGAGCAATCAAGCCCATTCCGCCATCTTCACAAACCTGGATGATTGATGACGATGATCCACTACCACCATCACAAGCTAAACCGACAGAGGTCAAACCAATTTCTCCATCTTCACAAACCTGGATGATTGATGATTATGATCCACTACCACCCACACAAGCTAAACGGAGAGAGATCAAGGCAATTCCCTCATCTTCACAAACTAGTGTGATTGATCATGATGAAGAAGATGATCCACTACCACCCACACAAGCTAAACGGAGAGGGATCAAGGCCATTCCCTCATCTTCACAAACCTGGATGATTGATGATGATGATGAAGAGGATGATCTACTACCACCACCCTCACAAGCTAAACAGAGAGCAATCAAGCCCATTCTGCCATCTTCACAAACCTGGATGATTGATGATGATGATCCACTACTACCACCATCACAAGCTAAACCGACAGAGGTCAACCCAATTTCTCCATCTTCACAAACCTGGATGATTGATGATTATGATCCACTACCACCCACACAAGCTAAACGGAGAGAGATCAAGGCAATTCCCTCATCTTCACAAACCTGGATGATTGATGATGATCAAGAGGATGATCCACTACCACCCTCACAAGCTAAACGGAGAGCGAACAAGCCCATTTCTCCATCTTCACATACCTGGATGATTGATGATAATCCACTACCACCATCATCTTCACAAACCTGGATGATTGATGATGATGATGAAGAGGATGATCTACTACCACCACCCTCACAAGCTAAACGGAGAGCAATCAAGCCCATTCTGCCATCTTCACAAACCTGGATGATTGATGATGATGATCCACTACTACCACCATCACAAGCTAAACCGACAGAGGTCAACCCAATTTCTCCATCTTCACAAACCTGGATGATTGATGATTATGATCCACTACCACCCACACAAGCTAAACGGAGAGAGATCAAGGCAATTCCCTCATCTTCACAAACCTGGATGATTGATGATGATCAAGAGGATGATCCACTACCACCCTCACAAGCTAAACGGAGAGCGATCAAGCCCATTCCTCCATCTTCACATACCTGGATGATTGATGATGATCCACTACCACCATCACAAGCTAAACAGAGAGAGATCAAACCAATTTCTCCATCTTCACAAAACAGGCAGTCCTCTTCACTGCAATCTGAAATCCTAGATGATGATAAGGACTCTTTTATATCGGACGAAATGTTTGATGATTCACGGGACAGTGATTTTGTTTTGAATTCCAATTCAGAGTCTGATTCTAGTGATGTTGTCCCAATAATTGACATAGGTGCTTTTAAAACTGTAAAAAATGATCAAAATGACAAGATATTCTTTAAAGATATGCCCTTGGTGAATTAAAGCTAGAAAATGCTAGTTTTATCAAATCAACACTTCTAAGGAAATACATTGCTACAACAACACAGGTAAGTCAGACCTGGAATCATATGTGTATCATATGAAATTTAAAGATGCATTCCCACAAAAGCATTTATCGGGTGGTTATTTCCAATAAAAGTATGGCAATTTTGGTATATCGAAAGTAGAGACACCCAATTTTACAAGAAAAATACTGGATTCCCTGAAATACACAAATGGAGCACGCACAGGACAAAAATAAGAGGGTGTCACTAAGTAACTGAGATTTTTTGTGTATCATATGACATTTAATAGAAGGGGCTGATCTCCGGTGTTCTTGGGCACATGGTTTGGACTTAAAAGTGAGCTCCTTCCATTCAAATACAGAATATTTCTATTTCGGTAAAATTCCCCCTATAGCCTTTGATCCAGTTTGATAAAATGTCATAATGATAACACTTAAGAAGTTTTTATTTTTATTGAATATTTGCAGGTGCTTAATATTTCTGAGAATCAACTTGGATGGATTACTAATCATTTAGGACACAACATCAACGTACATAAAGATTTTTACCGAGTTATGTCTTCCACTATTGAAAAAACGAAAGTAGCAAAATTATTATTGCTGGCAGATAGTGGTTCAATAACCAATTATTATGGGAAGACGATTGACGAAATAGATTTTGAAAGCTCTGCTGGTGGTGAGTTTTAGTCTGTAGTACCTTGTTAATCTAGATCAAACAACCCTTAATACTGATAATTACATGAGCCGAGGTGGCTCAGTGAGTAAGACCCTGGTTCACTAACCAGGAGTTCTCAGGTTCACTCCTGGTGTTGGCCGAGAAAGTTCCTTGGGATTTTCCGGCATGGTTTCCCCTTGTCAGTGGTTCAGGAGGGAGGGCCTGGCAACAAGGGGTCCAAGCAGATTCAATTGACCGACGTTAACTCCAATTAACAAAATGTTAAAGACCCATGCTGTGCACGTAAAAGAACCCCTGACAGTTGGAATTCGATATAAAAGTAGGCCGTAGCGCTGCTGTCCTGGCAAAATTTCACTCATAGCATGGCGTATGCCCATCTTCATTAGCCCAGTCGGTGCAGAAAAGTAGGACGTTAAACCCCATTTCATTTCACTGATAATTACTGGGTCGAGCCATGTAACCCAGCTCCTGTTTGACAATTAAACCAAGTCCATGGTGTAATGTTTGTATAGATTTTGTTGTATAAATGGTGGATTACATCTTGAAATTATGATTTAATATTTCTATTCTTTTTCAGACTTTCTTGTGAAAGATGATGAAGAACAAGATATTGTTGATGATGAGATTAATATTAATGATAGATTACAGCCACTTGAGAAAAGAAAGAGTAGTAGTCTAGAAGTAGTTAAGAGAAAGAAACAAAAGAATGAAATTATTGAAGGTGAGAACAGAATTTAGATATTAATATCTGTGTCGCGAACTTTGATTCAAATGAAATTTTAAAAGATTTTATCTCTTGACTGACCCAGACAGTTTGACATCCAAACACCCATGTCATAACAATGACAGCATGGGTCTTTAACATTTTGTCGATTGGAGTTGACGTTGGTCAATTGAATCTGCTACGGACCCCTTGTTGGATATTTTCATGTAAGCATTGTCCAGTTTGTCTAAAATCCTGAGACCATTTGACATGGTCCACAAATTTGTCATATAAATCATAATGTTTATGTTTGACTGTTGTTATTTTGCCTTAGAACTTACAGTATGAAATGTTTATTGTCTTTTCATTCCAGGACCCACATGTAGTAACGATACACAGAGAAATATGTTGCAGATTTCAGATAATAGTAAGTAGTTTTATTCTCTTACGATGATTTCCTCTTTATGGTAAAATCATTCCATTCCTTCACCATAACTAAAAACAATGGTTACTCGTCTGGTGATACTGTGTGCATTCATTAACGAGGATATCCTCTTTAGGGTTCACTTCTTTCTATAAGGGCTCTCTCTCTCCCCCCCCCCCTCCTCAACACTTTTTTATTATCTTATCAACAAATTGATAAGGGAATTGGGGAACAAGCAAGCTGCCTATGCTAAACCCTTATCCCTTAAAACCAGAAGAAAGCTCTTTATTATGTAAAGTGCATACAGTCCTACCTACAGACATATCTTTGACTTCACAGGAAGTTGATCTTGAACTTAAAATAATTCCCCAAAATAGACGTATTTCGTCAGTTGTCCTTCTGCAAGACTGCTGGTTTGTGAGAATATCTGCTTTAGTTAGAATCCCATGAAGTTCTCATATGTAGAAGATATTAATTTTACACAATGTCAGCACAACATCAGTAATGACTGGACAGGGACTTTAATTCAATTTATGGTACCAAATTTATTGTAGATGATGAGATTGGATCACAGCCACTTGAGAAAAGAAAGAGTAGTAGTAGTCCAGAAGTAGGTGAGAACATAACAGAATTAAAATAATACTGTGTTTTATTTAGTGTCTTTAATCAAAGTATATTTTGAAAATCCTAATTTTGAGCTTTAAAAGAGAGAAAATGTCAAATTGGGTCAAACAGTAGACTTTCTCTTAGCATTATATCAATTGGTTGTTATGTAAGTGATTAAATATGATTGGTTAAGTTCAAATAATAAACTGCAGGAAAATTAAAGGTCAAAGATCATCTTAAGACATTTAGAATATTGATTCAGAGAGTATTAAAGGGATCCCCCATCTTTAAACAAATTGAATTGAATGCTTATTACCTGTTCATTCCAGGAGGACCTACATGCAGTAACGATAAACAGACAAATAGGTTGGAGACTTCAGATAGTAGTAAGTAGTCTTATTCTCTTAGGATGATTTCCTCTATATTGTAAAATCATTCCACTCCTTCATCATAACTAAAAACAATGGTTACTCGTCTGGTGATACTGTGTGCAATCATTAACGAGGATATCCTCTTTAGGGTTCTGGACTATGGATTTGGAGATGACTATGCACTATTTACTTTAGAGAATTTGCCTTTAAATCAATGTAATGTAACAAAAAATCACAGATTACCCCGTCTTCTTATGAATTTGTGAGGATTATTTTTACATTGTTGGTTCAGGGCTTTCTAGATATGATTCAAAACATCATTTTTTTTCTTTTAATATTTTGTTTGCAACCACACGACCAATTTCTAGTTTGGCTGAACAACACTCAAACTTAAAAGTCTACAATATATATACTTTTTTTATCCCCATGTTTTCCTATGGAGAAATTTGAAGAAATATGGATATTTCCTTTTGATAATACTTGATAAGGAACTGTTGTGTCAGTATTTGTTCATTTTTTTGATTTCAGATGTTTGGAACAAAGAAAAGAGAGGGGCCTATAATGAAGTGTTTTTTAAACTTGTCCAATTACGAGGAAAAATGCTGAAAAAAGAAGAAATAGTATCCCTCAAAAACAAGAACCCAATTTTAAAGAAAATGACCTATGACAAAATTAAAAATAAAATAAATGCAGATGTACAGAAAATAAGACGAAATAAAGACAAAAACTAAAAATAATTTGCAGATGTACAGAAAATAAGACCAAATAAAGACAAAAACTAAAAATATTTTTTTTTAATTCTTTTGCTCTTATTCCCAAAGGTAATAGATCATGACAAAAAACGAATTTGGCTCATTAAAGAGATTAGGCTTTAAAAACTAATATGCAAAATATTTTTCTTGATGTCTTAAAATAAGAGAGAAAAACCTTTTGTAAATTTCCTATGCTAAAATATCAAAATCATATCTAGACCAAATTCTCCTATCTTATGCTCTATTACCTTATATGTCTCCATTCTAAACCGGGCCAGGGAAAGATGTCGCTTTATTTGGTAAAATATTTATTGTAATTACATAATGTTAAAAGATAGGTTTTCATGTCTGTACATCACTGGCAAGCATTGAAATGGTTAAGAACACACTTTAACTAATGCATTGCAGTGATTCATGACAAGTCAAGTATAAACTTGCTGAAAATAGTCTCGATTTCCCGTAAGTTTGGACGCTTATTCCATCAAAATTTACTGTTTTCTACATACTTTTTTCCCCCAGGTTTATCACTACCCATTTTTATACGCCCACATTTTCATGTGGACGTATATTGTCGTCGCCCCTGTCCGTCCATGAAGAATTTAATTCTGATAATTACATGTAGATATATCATTTCCCAGGCCCAGGCAAGATTCTTTGAATGGACACAAATGATTACCAGCAAGATATCTAGAGAAGCTGGTATAAAGGAATGATCTGTATTAAGTGGATATTGTGTGTGGGGGGGGGGGGGCGGCGTGTTGTTCATTAAAATATGGATCTGGTAAAAGATGGAATAATTGGGTATGAAATGCAGCCATTGACCGAATGGCAGTCTGAAAGGCAAAGCACATGGATGTGAGCCGAATGGTGTTTTGGGGAATTATCCTTATAACTTCCAGTTTTGCACTTAGACCGATTTTGAAAGTCAGCTCTTCAATTGAGGTCACAGGAGTGACAACCTAGATGAGCTGCACAAAATATGTGCAACATTTTCAATCAATCAGCAGGATACGCCCACATTTTCGAGAGATGGATAGAGAACAAGCTAAAAAGAAAGTGATTCTTCCTACAATCAAGGGCCATAATTGAGGAAATTACAATTCAATATGCGCAAATATCGATACGAACCAAGATCTTTGGGTTATAAACTTACATTTCAAGTTTCAACAAAATCGGATAAAAATTGTGACCTCTATAGGGTCCACAACCTTGATATACCATATTTTTTCGCTATTTGAAAATGAGGGGCGGCCATTTTGTCTGTCAGTTTTTGGACGATTTTCACGAAATTCGAATATCGAAATGAACCGAGATCTTTGGGTTATAAACTTACATTTCAAGTTTCAACAAAATCGGATAAAAATTGTGACCTCTATAGGGTCCACAACCTTGATATACCATATTTTTACGCCATTTGAGAACGAACGGCGGCCATTTTGTCTGTCAATTTTGATCCGATTTTCACGAAACTCGAACTCAGTCGTCATTAGGGTGTAACAGTGATATAATAATACGTTTTTTTTTAAATCGGATCAAAATTATGACCTCTATAGGTTCCACAAGCTAAAAACGAGATTTTTCTTACAATCAGGGGCCATAATTCAGGAAGTTACGGTCCGATATGCTCGAATATCGACAGGAACCAAGATCTGTGGGTTATAAACTTACATTTCAAGTTTCAACAAAATCGGATAAACATTGTGACCTCTATAGTGTCCACAACCTTGATATACCATATTTTTACGCTATTTGAGAACGATCGGGGGCCATTTTGTCCGTCAATTTTGATCCGATTTTCACGATATGCGCGAATATCGAAAGGAACCGAGATCTTTAGGTTATAAACCTACATTTCAAGTTTCAACAAAATCGGATAAAAATTGTGACCTCTATAGGGTCCATAAGCTAAAACCGTGATTTTTCGTACAAACAGGGGCCATAATCCATGAAGTTTCGATCCGATACATGCCAATATCGAAAGCAGCCGAGATCTTTTGGAGATAAACCTATATTATTATTATTATTATTATTATTACAGCATATTTATAGTGCACCCTTTCATATAACATGTTCAAGGGCACTTTACAAAGTGACAATGTAAATCACACATAAACAACAAGATTATGGGCATGTTAACAATTATATACAGAGTCAGTTAAAAGCCTGATTAAATAAATGTGTTTTAAGTTGTTTTTTAAAAGAATATAGAGATGTAAAACATCTTAAACTAAATGGTAGATTATTCCATAAAACAGGTGCTTGATAACTAAAAGAACGCTGACCATAAGAGACTAGTTGAACAGTTTTGGGCTTTAAAAGTAGTTTATCTGATGCACGTAATGTTCGGCCAGGTGTATAAAGTTCTAAAAGATCTGAGAGGTAAACAGGAGCTAAATTATTTAAACATTTAAAAGTAAGTAATAAAATCTTAAAATCAATTCGATATTTAACAGGTAACCAGTGTAAATTATATAAAACAGGAGTTGTGTGGTCACATTTCTTCGTTAAAGTAACAAGTCTAGCCGCAGTATTCTGTACTTTTTGTAATTTATCTATAAGCTTTAAAGTTAAACCAACTAAAAGTGAATTAAAGTTATCTAATCGAGAAGTGACCAGAGAATTAACAAGTGACTTAGTGGCCTCTACAGTTACACATTTACGTATTTTACCTATATTTCTAATATTAAAATAGCACAATTTACAAATATTATTTACTTGTGCTCCCATAAGCATAAAACTATCAAAGATAGCGCCAATATTACGAGCAAAATAAGATGAAAATATATCACAATTACCAATCACAACAGGGGGGTTATCTTGTGCAGATTTACTTAATTGATGCCTTGATGGCCTAATAACAAATATTCGGTTTTATCATCATTCAATTTTAGAAAGTTCTTTGACATCTATTTTCTAATTTCACTAATACAGTTCACAAGTTGCAATTTTGATAAATTGAAAGAAGATGGACAATTAGGTGTAAATGAAATATATAATTGAGTATCATCGGCATACAAATGAAAGCTGAGACCATATTTTCTGACAATATCTCCTAATGGTGACGTATATTTCAAGTTTCGTCAAAATCGGATAAGAATTGTGACCTCTAGGGTGTCCACAAACAATTTGTGGGCGGACGTCCGGACGGACATGGGCGACGGCATAATACGTCCACATGAAAATGTGGGCGTATAAAAACCTCATAAGGCTGTTTAAAGGCTTGCCTTGTCAAAGGGGAGACAACCCATTTTTTCCTCTTAATGGATAGATGAGCTGCACAAAATGTGTGCAAACTGGAAATTTTTAAAAACCTCATAAGGCCGTTTGAAAGGCTTGCCTACATGAGGCTGTCCTCCTTAGTCAAATTCCTCATATGGGGTCTCCCAACAAGGACCCTTCCTCAGATAGGTACACCCGTGGGTATGGGCGTGTGTGTGTGTGTGTGTATCTTTGTATGTATTTTCGCCCATCACGCTTCGTCGCCGCGCTCCACCCACACATTATTAGGTGATATTGAATTAACCAGCATCACAACACGAAAGTTTTTGGCCATTGAATTCGGGCCCCGGGCGAATTACGCTTCGTCGCCGCGCTCCACCTCCACATATCTCGTATCAAATTAAAAAGCACGACTACTTGAATGTTTTAGGCCATTGAATCTAGGCCACAGGCAAATTTGGGCCACGAACGAATTGTGCTTCGGGCGAATTTTGGTTCCGTGCTAATTTGAGCACTGGGCGAATATGGGCCCCTGGCAAATTTGGGCTACGGGCGAACTTGGACCAAGAGCGAATTTAGGCCCCGGGCGAATTTGAGCCCTGGGCTAATTTGGGCACGTGTAGAGTCGGGTATCCTACGAGTAATTTGATAATGCATCATAGAAAGGTAATGAACAGTGGTATGTTCATAACTTATTCATCCGTTAATTCGAAAACGTAAACATCTTGGAGCCACCAAATCTAGTTAAGAAGTTATTATGTGCGCAGTGAGCCTAAAATTATGGAAGGATAACGTTGCCAATATTATTTCATTGTTGACGGTGCAAACTGCAAATGTCAGTAGTTCAAAATACGTATTTTAGTTTTATAATTGCAATTTCCATTGCTCAACAATACCAATGTCACGGTGTTAAAATACAGAATACACTTTTCAATAATACAAAATACAGTATAATAGTTATTTTGCACATTACCCTTCTGCATTCTGCATTTTGCATAATAGACAAATGCATAATAGAACCTTGCATAGCTTTCATCTACCTTGAGAAATTGGTGTGGAACTTAAGTTTACGCACGGTTCTGTTACACACCGACTTTATCTCTGTAACAAATAACGACGAGTCTGCATCCGTCAACAATATAAATATGGTCATTTTACAAATAAACACAGCTGGATCTATCAGCCATTTATTCAAGGGATTTGATTTCTTACAAAATCCTGATTTATATAAAAACTTAGATTAATGTTAGAAGATTTTTCCTGTTGTTCATTATGTATTTTATCAAATAGCCATTTCTCCAGACAGTCAAGGGTGACGGGTTGATAATCAGAAAGATGTTTATTACTGAATAAATGCGGTGCCTTGGTTAAACCCGGTAGTTCCTTCATACCAAATATACAGATACTTCTTTTCCATTTACCGCTACACTTGACGCCATCTGTGGACCATATTTTATATCTAGCCATTGCTTCTTTCTCAAGTAACTGCTCTCTCTTCCCTGTAACGTTTCATTAAAAAGAAAAAAAAATGTTTAAAAATATCCGTTTTTTGGTCTTCAAGTTAACTTTATCGCTGGACAAAATAAAAGTGGCATGTTGCCAGTTCGTTTTCACATTTCCCGTCAATGTTAATTTCAAGCTCTATTTGATTTTGTCAAGTTTCATTGCCTTCCGTGGAGTCTAATTTTTATATAAGCTAAACTAAAACAACATGCCAAATTTATTTTTATTTGATGAATTACTATGTGGTGTAAATGCTACATTTCCGAGACAGTTTTCCGAATAGAAACCAGACAGAAAATTATAAATTAAAACCATTCAAATATTGAATAATAATATGATTGATTACCCCCCTTGCTTTCTAAACGTTCTCATCCCGATCGCTCAAGGCCCCGTTTCGATCACAACAACTTCTGGACAAAATAATAATGGAAGTAAAGTAAACCTTACGATAAGTTGAGAGGGGAATGGCTTTAACCTTTTTGTTGACAGTTTGCTGTCAATCGGTGGATTAACACAAAGCAGTGCGTGATCTCTCTGTGCGAATAGCCAGTCAGTTACACAAATGACGCTTTGTGTCCAGATTAATATTTGATTCCAACGACACGCACACAATTTGGGCCCCCAGAGAAGGAGGCGACATACGTTCTAGAATTGGGGGGGGGGAGGGGTACTTATTGTCAGATTTACAAAAACACTATCGATTACAGATGAATACCTTTGTAACAACCAGAAATATTCAACTGTGGACTAAAACAAAGTGAATTAAAAAACGTCTCATGAGGATGCTTTGCCTTTTTCAACCAATCAGCAAACTGGAGAGCTTTTGGTGCTGTCCTAATGTATGTGATAAACTTCCGGCTGGCTAGAATATGTTGAGATCCTTTCTTTAGGACAATGTCCGATATTGGGGTACCAGTCTTAGACATTCTGGATTTCCAAACCTTTCCACTGAAGTATAAAAAAGTCGGTATGTTATAACGTTCTTGTGCTTTGATTTTAAGTAGTCTTTGCATTTAAGTAAACTTATCTTATTTTGTGTTCCCAGAAAATTGTTAAGAACGTCCTTGTGCTTAGTAGACTTCAGTGTAAGCACAAGCACGTTATTAAGCACAACTTCGTTCTTAAACACGGTCAATGCTTACCGACCTTAAGTCTGTTTCTGCTTCAAACAAGGTGGCTGACAGTTGGTTATTCCACGGCATTTCCTACATCTTTTGATACCAAAGAGACAATTGAAAGACAGAGAAAATCCTTGAGAAGCGTATTCTCTAGAAGTAGGCCTACTATAGAAAATTTTGCTTTTACCCTAAAACCATTTTATTTATTTACCAATTAGTAAACAACACAAACACACGGGCTCTCACAATTATTAAGAGTGTTTGCATGTGCTTGCCGTTTTTTTTTTTTTTTTTTTTATAGCTTGTGCCACATTTTATATGTGTATATGGAACATGTCAAATGCATCTAAATTGATCATTGGGAAGCAGACGACAAGTGTATGACATAATCACATACCAAAACTGTTTTTATGACGTTAGAGGGCATCATAGTCTCAGTTTACCAGTCATAAGATGCTTACACTCATACTTGACTTGTGCTTACGCAAGAACGGTCTCTCGCATTTTTTAGAGACGTTTCTTACGTAAGAAAAAGTGAAGCATAACTTTGTGCTTACTTTAAGAATTTTCAAGGAACCGGGTCCTGGACGTTGCTAGATTACTTCACAATTCCTGAACTTATAGCTACGTTATTTACAGACACGTGAATAGTAGTATCCAATCGACCTTCACGGAAACCTCGACATTGAACGAACGTTGAACTCTATTATCACAGGTAGACATTTTAGCTTGAAAGCGCGAGACTTGGTATTCGCGACTATCGAGGAATCTGATAGGCTCACAAGCTCGACTTGTACCCAATCGAAATCACACTGAGCAGCAGTGAATATTCGCTAGGCCGCGACAATTACTGATAAGGATGACATCGATGCGACTTAATGAGCCACAAATATTAACTTTTTTCCTCCGACAAATTAAATTCTAAAACATTTTTTTTTTATGTATTAGAAAAATAAATAAAGACGTTTGACGTATTTGTATGTAAAAATTATTTCCTATTTAGTGTAAATGGGTATTAGAATGAGTAAAAGGCTCCACTCCGCCAGAACCAGTAAGGTTTTATGTAAACAATGCACGCGTCATTGAGCCAATGATTGACGCCACGTGATGAGACGTCACGTGTTGAAGGTAGTCATCTTTTACAGAAATATTAAAAGACTTTCGTAAACCTCTGTGAAACAGATTGAATCGAAATAAGTGCCGAAATATGCAGGGTATTACGTGAAGGCCTTGATCAGATGTACGTAGTTAAAGCGAGATCAAGTTAACGAGGGTGTTCGTTTTGGCGCTAGCTTTATATGGAGATGCGCAAAATAAAAAGTAATGATTGATAACTCTAATTGTTGTGATTGTGTAAGTGTCGATTAAGATACTTTGGATCTTAACGTAAATGTTAGCCCGATCCATAGAGCCCAAAGTGTATCCGCTTGGACTACTTAGGTTCTCCTTTTACGAATGATTTGGAGTGAAATCTTGTATGTCAAGCAACATTGAAGGGGTGCTCGGTTGTCAGTCCAGAACAATACGAAATAACGAAGTCACAATCGAAGAACATGGAATTATTCAGTTCCGCCTGTCATGCTGATAAAAGAAGGTGTGTGAGCAGAATCGTGACGTAATCAAACGTTTCGGCTATGGTGATTGGTCGAGTAAGAATCATATTCAGTTTGCGCATGCCTTGTCACGAGGAATTCTCGACAGACCTTCCGTGGGGTGGAGAGAATTCAATTCCGTAACATTTAATCGAGTATCCTCAGGGTGTACTGTAGTTTCGAATAACCAGACAGTCAGTTAATAAATACACAACAGGCGCCATTTTGAATGAACCGATAGACCTAGGTATACTATAATAAAAATCTTACCTGAATGGCGCCCCAGATACACTGTTGGCACCACGAAATGCTCTCAAAATACGAACAATTCCAAGATTAGTTTTTAAAGGAAAATCCTGACCAGCAAGATTTATCAAATATTTCCAATTTTTATACTTTAGTAGATCATCCATACACGTCAGTTCTGCTTGAAATACACTATACTGACCCCACCTGACTGTACTTCTGTGTGACGCCATGATGACGTTATCGAAGCATTTCGCGAGCCCGGACATGGCTTTAAATAGATTAATGGGGGATTTCCCATCTACGTGTATACAATATATATTGGAAGGTCTGTAAATAGATCGTAATAATCTCTCTGCCATCTCTATATCATGATGCATGATGATATTATAGGCAATGGGGAATTCCCTTTCCTCTTTACTCACGTTCATTACATAACCACGTGATTTTATCAGCCTGTCACATGACTTGGCTAAACTCAAGTAAATTTTAGGTTTGAAAACGACCTTTTTATGTTTAGCTAGAATCATTTTAGTCTTTTTCACATATGCTGGATCACCCTGAATCAATTTCTCACAGTGGACGTCTAGTAACTTTAAATTTGTTAAGCTATTTGTGCCTCGTTTTATATAAACACTGCTTCCATACAATGGAATGTTTAACAAGAGATTTGTATCTTGCGGGACGTTTCTTGAGTTGGATTTTCGGCGTTTCTTTTGCTGTTTTATTTTGATTTCTTTGTTAGGTTGATTATATGTTTCTTGTTGAGTATAAACAACGATGTCGTCGGCTCTGGTTAGTGAAGGTAGTCGTGATATACGTTTATAGCGCTTGTAAATAGCGATGTAAATGAGTATTTGATGAATCAAAGCAAACCACCCCAGAACAGCCAAGGCTCTTCCGATAGCTCCCATTGCTTTAAACCCAGTAAGCTCTTTGGTCTCAATATGTGTATATCTCAGGAACGCCAAAGACCAAGGGCCTACTCAATTTCACTGCCACAGATAGACGACGACGATGATAGATTAATAAATACGATACGGATAACATGGATATTTTTTCTACCATTATCACTACATCATCGGAGACACCCAAGATGACAACAGCATTGTTTACATTGTTGATATAAAATGTTAGGAAAGATCACCAAGTCTTATATGCGAGACTACAGTGTAAACACGCATTCGACAACTTCGTCCGACTGTCATCGCCGTTAGACAGTTTCAATCATAGGCATACCCAGGACTTTGCCAGGCATGTGAACTGAATTTTTGATCTCTTACTCCCAAACCGTTTTGCGAAGTAAAGTAACGGTAATGTTAGTTATTTAGTTTAATGTCCTACTTTTGTGCATTTAACCAGGTTAATGAAGACGAGCATACGCCATACAGCATGCTATTGGGGGGGTGGGGAGTCTGTATGGACAGAAGCGGTTCCGCCTAGTCTTCACCGAATTCCTACGAACGAATTTATGTACACGCCAAAATGTACGTGGAACCTCGGTTTTGTCGTTTTCGTACCATTCATAAAACTAGACACGTTTCCCTTGCCAGGTCCCCAGTATCTAACTACATCTATATGGGGATCGAACATGCAATCGTGGATTTACAGTGCACCTCGGTAACCACAATGCCCTTTCCATTCCATATGACACACTTACTGACATGGGTTACCTGGAGTACTTTTGGAGAATTGCGAAACACTCTAACTTAACGTAATTACCCTGAACTTATCTCTTATAATGAAATATGGTCGATAGTGGAGAGAAAAATTAAGGTTAACAATCTGACTAATTTACTAGAGTGGGATTTTGTAAACCAATCAGTATATCGAGGAACCAACGGGAAGTATTGAGGAACCACGCGGGTACCAGTGGGAGTATCAACGAACCAAAGGAAAGTATCAAGGAAACAACAGGGGTATAGGAAAATCAACGGTGTGTATTGGTGTAACCATCTTCAGATGATTCAGGGTATATCAAGGGATCAATAGATGTATTGGGGAAAAGCAGCATATAGTGAGGACCCACGAGATATGTCGAAGAACCATTGAGGGTATTAAAGCGCGACGGAAGTATAATGGCACGTAGCACCAACCGGGTTATGGGCCTATTACACCAACGGGGTGTATCAAGGGATACCTGGATGTTCGAGAATCAACACTTCGAGCTCTAGTTGGCCTGTCACAACTGGCTTGCGGTCATGGTTTCGATCCCTGGTGTGAGGGTTTACCCCGGGTTCTTCGGCTTCCCCCCACAGGACAGACCCCTGCACGTGCACTAGGCATAATAAAAATCACTCGCGGCAAACCTCAGCAGATTCCAGTACCCTACATCTAGCCTCGGCTGTATGACGAAGTCCGCCATTGGAACTACTTTCAAGTTCTCAGATTACCAACGGCGTTGCCCATGACGACGCCTTTGAAGAATGTTTTATCATACAAGTCTGAAACTGTTTTATTTTCAAGTTTATCCGATTTTCTTCAAACAAGGACAACTTTGCACTGACAATTCTACACACTCTTCGAACGACGCAATTGTTAGAACTTCTTTCGAAAGCGGCAAGTTGACACAATAAGTAAACCGGTGCCGCATCGCAATATAGGCGTAGGTACATAATATCACTTACTGTCATACACCCGAGACTAGATGTATGGTACCGGAATCTGCCGAGGTTTGCCGAGTGAAAAAAAATAAGACATTCGCCATCGGTGGAAGCGGACGTTAACCACTAATTGAAGAAGAACTGCTTTATTGATTTAAATCTCTTTTTTTATTGTTCATGTATGGTCTATATATTAATTTTTGGTTCCTCTTCTATTCTTCTTTCACATCCGGTAGCCTGTATAGAAACAAACAGGAAGTAGTTAAACACAAATATATCTCATTTTGAAAGAGCACGTCACTCACATCTTATTAGAAATCGATTGTACTTTATGTCTGGATCAGGCTTGGGGGTGCACATTTTATTGTGTCGATAAACCTGTTATTGACCTTTGCATCAATCTGGTTCAAATCAGGTGTTAATTGCCAGCTGTCACAGCGTCATGTTTGAGCCACGGTGACTCAGTGACTAAGGCATTGTCTCACTATATATGACGTATGGCCTTCTTAATTAGCTTAGTATGTGCAGAAAAGTAGGACGTTAAACACAATTTCATTTCACATTGTTTATTATTCGGTTGTGGGCCGCTGGGTAATACCGTGGCGAGCAGATGTGGGTGATAAAAAAAACCATCGATTCCAAAGAGTAATACTACTCGTCCACCCAAAACAAAAACACAAATACAAAACAGAGGTATGTAACCGACGTGCATATAAACAAAACAGGACGAGCAATATATGCGGCAACGGGAACACCAAGTATAAAGCTCGATTTAGTCGATAAATCAATCACATAAATAAGAAAAATAATTTAGGTTTACTATTCACCTTGGTTTCACCAATAATACTCATACCGAGGTTTAATTTCACGGCATAATCCAACACGACATTTGGCTCTGTCACCAAAACAGTGACATCTTTTATTTCTTCCACAACACGGTTCCTCCCCAACATTACAAAAATTCCTTACACACTGTAAAATAAATACAATTTTGCAGCAACATTTAAGTACAGTTCTTAATTTTCTGGTCATCCTCATCGATGTACGAACTGAACTTGCTATTAAATAAGACCAGCAAGTGCCTATTGAGACGCCTATTGAGACGCCCCCTACCCCCACCCCCTTCTGACCTGCCATTTATGAAAATTTGATGTTAATATTAGAAAAAATCACACTATGATTTCAAGTCGAACATATTGTAAATGGGGGAATTTAGTGTGTAAAGGGGGAATAAGTGACGTGTTTGTTAATTTGGCGTCATAGAGGGGGGATGTGTCGGGCACCCTGATTAAGACTCGCACACAAGGGGACAATAATTATGACGATACTAGATTGAACTTTTGGAAATTGAATATCAATTGCTGGAAAGGACTCGATCGACTAAACACGAGATTTCGGGCGAAAGGGTTTGCGCAAACTGAATATGCTTGATTACGTCACGATTCTGCTCACGTCACGTCTGTATTCGGGACTAGTATAACTGCAACATGCCGTTCTTTTTACACAAGTTTAAAAATAAGCTTCTAAACGGAATACATTCACATTGCTGGTAGAAGTATGTGGCTGGTTTAAGGATGTGGCAGCATCGCGATTTCGACCGCCTTAAATTAATTTTTTTTATTCTTTGATTACGTACTCGGAATGTGCGATCTTACAAAGATTTAATTGGGTATGCAAACCAATATCTGTATGAATAGATTTCATGCCTTACTTACTGATGATCCACGTTCTGATTTTCCAACCGCTTTTCCCTTCACTGTTGCCATAACAACAATAGCCAAAAGTAACACAAGTGTAGTCTTAGCAACCATATTCCTAAAAGTAAGTTTACCATTTACTAATGTTGCTATTTCGGCAAAATCACATTTACAGCCACCTTGTATTATGTCGGGACTACATCATTATGGGTTCTGACTTGAACTGAATTTTCACTTACACCCCCCAACCCCCCACCACCCACAAAGATACATTCTAGGAATAAGATTTCTTAAAAAATTATCTCCACCAATCACCATGTATGAAAGGTGTTAGCCATGTTTGAATACATCACGATTCTATTAATGTGGGCTTTCCTTAAAGTGGATATAGTCACCACCGGCTATTAGTACAGAAAATTTTGTTTGTTCAATTGATGTGCTCTTTAAGAAATTGTCTTCACCAATAACCATTTTATGTTTGAATACGTCACGATTCTAGTCGCAACAAATCTGTTATTTTGAGTCTAACATGCGTATATATTTCTGTAAGTCTGCTATGCTAGGATGGGGGAAGGGATTTTAACATGGGTATTGTCGCCTACTGCTAAGGGTACTTTTAAGTGCGCGCCGAACTCTTCTCTCAATAAGGAACGGCTAGGCAACACTCCAAGATGTAAATCCTAATACATTCACACATTCATATCCGCCAATTATGCTGATATTATAACAAATTTTGCTTCCCTCAGTCAACAGATTAACTCAAAACTGGCCACAACTTCTTCATTCGAAATGTAAATTTAAGCATCTGGACTTTCTCTTAATGGAAATAACACACCAAATCATTCTAATTCTACATTATTGTGACCTGAATCAAAAATGTCCCGTTACTTTTATTATAACCATTGATCACATCAGACATGTTTGTCTGGAATTATCAAATGTTAACTCCGTTTGAGGAAAATTTACATTTCTATTATTTTCTTCTTTGTCAGTAATATAATTATCATGGCTGTATGTTATAATTTATTTACAATTTATTTCACATCCTAACGTACATAGAAAGTCAATTGGCTCGATCTGGAGAGAAATGGTAACTATAGGTGCGGTTGGGCGCTGAATCTCTAAACAGGAAGTCCGAGTGCGATCCCGGTGTTGACTGAGAAAGTTCCTAAATTGCACAAATTATATTGAGTAACGGCGTTTGGTTGGTGTCAAAATGAAATGTGGTTTAACATCCTACTGTTCAGCTCCTATACTGGGCTGAAGAAGACGGCCATAGGCCATAGAGTGTGCTATGAGGCAATTCCAACTGCAAAGGGATCTTTTACATGCACGCCAATGTATACACGGGACATCGCTTTTACGTCTCATCCGAACGACTAGACGGCTGTCCTTGGCAAGCCCTACGTCCTGCACCACTGACAAGGGGAAACCACGTCGGAAAATCTCAGTGAACTTTCTCGGCCAATGCTTGTTGTCAAAAAAAAATGTCGATTTTTGGTTTGTCTGTTTCAGATATAACGGGTGTGTTGTGCTGTCGACACAAAAAGCCAGAATTTAAACTATACAAAACTAGTGGTACAGAAAAGCAGCATTAAGCCCCTTTCAACTGCCCCTCAGGAAAATAAAAAGGCGATAGTGCAAACATCATGGAAATGTTGCCGTAATACCCGGATTGTTTAAACAACCATCCCTATATCAAGCATATAATCTTACCTTTATTGCGATCTTTATGTAGCCCTACACAGATTTCAATCTCAACTAATAAGCATATGTTGTTATATACCCTATTAAATACAGCTTATTAATTTATTAATTCGCAATGAAAATATAACAACGGCATAATAATTTTTTTGCCTAATTATATTCACAGCTGAACTAATTAATGTCACAATTTATAGTTAAATATTATTGGTGAATGCATAAGAAATCGGCAAAAAATACGAACAATAAAATAAACGTTAACATTTATGCCAAGGCTAGCGCACCCCCATGTTTCTGAAGCAACCACTTGTATTGCGAGTTTTACAGCTTCGAGACGTTGCTAGACTGGTCTGCAATTCCCTAACTTATATATACGTTATCTGACTTCAACGCAGCCACGTGAACGATAGCGTCCAATCTGAGGTTGTGACACAAACACACGTGGCGACCTCCACGGAGACTTTGACATTAAACGAACCTTAAACTTTGCAACTCGATTATCACAGGTAGACATTTTAGCTGGAAAGCGCGAGACTAGGTATTCGCGATGACCGAGAAATCTGATAGGCTCCCCAGCTGGGTCGTCAGTAGCCAATCGACATTAGTGCCTACGAAATATGCAGGATAAGATGTACTAAGTAAAGCGAGATCAAGCCTTCTATTGAAGATAGTGCAACCCAAGTCATTATCTATCGGGAGAGAGAGAGATAAATGGGGTTTAACGTCCACTCGACACATTATCTATCGGGCTAGCTATCGTGCGCACTATACGGATGTTTGATGGGTGATATCTCGTCGTAAACATTTCATCGGCGTTAACATGTTTGGTGGCTTTTTCAATCAGGAGAATTCTCAATAGACATTTTTTTTATAAGAATTCCCTGCCACCGACAATCTGCTGGCTAAATTTTCAAGCGCACACTGTACGATATTCCATGATCTATACCCCGTCACTAATATTTCACGGGCAGTGGTATATCGATAAATATTAGTTAGCCACACTATCTGGTCTCTTTGATGATCTATCATGATTCGTCTGTAACACGAACTTGGGTTCAAAATGCTCTGTTAAAGTATAAAAGTAGGACCAATATAAAGATTCCAAAAATGTTCGACAACGCAAAAACAAGTCATCGGGGAGAGGGGGGGCACTGTACTTTTTAAAAATGTGGAGTTGTACCCCCTAGAAATAATTATTGGGGATTTCAAACAAGGAACAAACATATTCTGGCTGTTATATATTAATTAAAATCTCTGGACAACATTCGGTCTGCCAACGATTCCGGTCTACATTTCTTCCAAGTTGAACTTTGCGCCATTTTGCAATCTAAGGTAGGCTAATCGTCAGTTACAAGTCTTTTTATCATCGGATGGCGTCATGATATTATAACGGCCCCACGGTCACCTTTGTGTTTCGTGCCATTTAGTTGGCGGGTCTGTTTTTTTAATCCGACTTAATCCAAGTCAGGAGATAATCTGGCGTTCATATTTTGCCCGTATTTTATATTTTCCGAAAACTACAAATCTCATACAGTTAGTGTAAGACAGTAATTATCATGTAAGGTGTATCTGCCCCCCCCCCTCCACACACATACACCCACACACGCGCATCCACACCAACACACCCACCCACACACACACACATATATATATATTTTATGTAAAACGGATTGTGACTCGACTGGTAGGCGACCGGTGATCATTATACCAAACTTTATATTAGCCAGAACGTTCATCTCTTAGTTTATGTCTGTCTAGGACTAGATAATTAAATCGCAGATGCATGGTGCCAGGAATATAAAGTAAGTCATCAAACACATATAAAACCCGTCTTAATTGGCCAATAAATTTAAAAATATTTAATGTTTCTTTGTTTTAATTCTGATAAAGTACAACACACAATGGTAGCAGCGCTCCAGTTGTATAACATGCCAATGTAATGTAACATACGCATGACTTGGTGACATAGATATTGATAATTTGCCATTGTTTCTTTGTTGTAATCCTGAATGAATGAATGAATGAATGAATGAATAAATGAAATTGGGTTTAACGTCCTTCTTTTCTGAACATACCGGGCTTATGAAGACGTGCAAGTGTTCTATTGGGAAAATTTTCACCCGGACAGCGATTGAATTCCAATTGGGAATGATTCATTTACATGCACGCCAATGTGATCACAGGACCTCGTTTTCCTTCCTATCCGAACGACTAACGCAGTTCCTAGCCAGGGCCTCGGTCCTCCTGCACTCTGACAAGAGAAACTTTCTCGCTCAACACCGGGGGATCACGTGGCTAAGTGGGTAAGACGCTGGCTCGCTAGGCTAGAGGTCGGATGTTCGATCCCTGCATTGGCCGAGAAAGTTCATCCAGATTTTCCGGCGTGGTTCCCCCTTGTCAGTGATACAGGACGCAGGGCCTGACAAGGACAGCTGTCTAGTCCTTCGGATGAGACAAAAAACCGAGGTCCCGTGTATACATTGGAATGCACGTAAAAGATCCCATGGCTGTTGGAATTCGATATAAGAGTAGGCGATACTGCCGCTGCCCGAGCAAAATTTCCCTCAAAGCAACTGTATGGCGTATTAGGTGGGTAGATATAACAATATGATGGGGGGGGACCTAGAACAAACTGCAACAGAAATCATTTCTTTGGGAACTGTTCAGGTATGGTCTCTAGTACTCCCATAACAAAAGCGGCCATTATCGGTCTTGGGGAAATTTGCATAAATAACTTAATTCCAAGATGGTCGCCAGTGGACTAGAAAATCGACGAAATCTCCGAAACGGTTGGCTTTAGTGCAACTAAATGTATTACCGACCTATAGGAAATCGATACTCCCGAGTTCAAAATTGCCGACATTTTTTTCCTACGTCCTTATCGTAACCAAAGCCCTATATAAGGAAAGTTACGACAACTCATTTCCAGGCGCCATTTTGGATCCCAACTATGACGCCACAAAAACCATGGCGTCATACAGCTTTACTTATCATTACAAAACGTTTTATTTACTTCATGCAGCATTATATAGGTGGGGAAAGATATAACGTTTTACCTTAAACAAATTGCACCAATGCAGTTTGGTTCAATGATAAATATGTCAGACAAAATTATACTCAAAATCGGTCGAATTTGGCCATGGTAAAATAACGTAATCAACATAATTCAATATGGCGGTCTTCAGGAATTTTCGGAGAGCGACATCTCGTAATCAATGTGTTTCAGTGGTGGAAGAATAAATAATTTTCAAATTCCTCAAACACAGAACGATTATGCAAGCCAAATGTGCCGAAAAGTCGAATTTGACAAATATCAATTAAAAAAATGTATTTTTCATATGGTGCCGAGCAGTTCTTTCAAAGTGGCTGCCAAATTTGGTAATATAATGCAATTTAAAAAAAAAAAACATAAATAATATGGTAATAAAAGGGCAGCGATAATTTCGTAAGATATGACTTTTGCTATGACTTTTATATGGTTTTCGATGTCCGAATTAAAAGATAAATTTCTAAAATCCAAAATGGCAGCAACACAAATCGGAAGATGTTAATTTAATCGTCATTTTTCCTTGTTGGATATTACTTGTAACATGTCATTTACACGGTTCTCGATGTCGCCGAGTTCAATACTGATCTCAAAAATGACTCCATGATGGCAGAAATTCAAAATGGTCGGCAAAGTGTTTTCCAAATTTGCGGAATTTGGTTATATATCTTATATATGTATTTTGAAGTTGTTGGCACAACTCTGATCCCAAAAATAAATTTCGAGAATTCTTGATGGTAGAAATTCAAAATGGTCGGCAAAATGAAATCTAAATTGGTGCTATTTTAATTAACCGTCATTTTTTTCCGTTTGATATGTCTTATATGTGGATTTGGTGGTTTTTAGGGTTACTGAATTCAATGTTGGGTTCAAAACTTAATTTCAAATAGGATTGTCACCCACCAAATTTGTGCGTAAGCTAGAAACATCAGGACAAATTACAGAAATCATCTTTTACGGTCAGTTTTGTAAAAGCAAGGACAGAACCTCACCGGAACTCCAATAGAGTGGGAACCCCTCGCGAGGCCAGGTTCAGAGACCCTCGGCCCCCTAGCTTGAGAAAAATTGTACTACTGGGGTAATCACAAGTACCGGTCGTGAAATGAATAACAAACAGAAATGAAACCGCAGTAACTATCGGTCTTGATGTTACCAGGGACGGACCGGGAGTCGAGGGTCTCTAAATCACGATGTACCCTGTAGTTCGGATATAGACTCTAAACTATGATGTGCACTGTAGTTCGTATTGATTCTCCAAATCATGATGTATCCTGTAGTTCGTATTGAGTCTTTAAACTATGATGTACCCTGTAATTCGGATAGAGTCGCTCTAAACAACCATGTACCCTATAGTTCGGATGTACTCTGTAGTTAAGATAGAGTTTCTAAACCATGTTTATACTGTAGTTCGTATGCACTATAGTTTTGTAAATAAGAGGTCGATCATCACATAAATATGAATTGTGCGATATGTTAATCCCAAAATGACATAGTTTTTTTTAAATGATATATTGTTAACACGCTTTAAATATCTGGATGTAGAAAATTCTAGATACATTAAAATATTGGCAACAGGAGAGATTCGTGGTATAGGACGGAATTTATTGTTTTATTAATTGTAATCACAATGTTACACACTAAATTATACCCCTCCCGCTCCCCACTGAGTATTGTAATTAAAATATGTAATGATATCTTAGTTTACATCATGTCTTTGAATCTACCTTGGAGGTATGTGCAACCGTATGACACCTTAAATTTATTAATATGATTATTCTTACAAAGATCCAATTATAGTCTTTAATTACACGCTGTTAACCAGCCATTGGTGTTTTAATGACAATAAATCATATAGTTTATTCAGTTCGACGTAAGATTTAAAATAAGTATATACAGTTGGTTTAACTTGAATGTAGATCTGTTAATCTATGTCGCATATATATCACATTTCAGTTGAATCATATATCATTTGTTACGTATGTTCATGTTGCCTTACGTATTTGTCAACATCAAAGTGAGCTTGTTATATTGTTCCATTAGCTTATTCAGATTTGTTGAGATGAACTTAGTACTAATATGGCATTTTTCCGATAAGACCGGCAATAATTTA